TCCCAGCATTTATAGAGAAGATACTACCATGGCTACAGGTGTGCCCTTGGTCTGCCTTTTAGTGATGCAGGAGACCCACCCATCAGGTAAGGTCTTAGTCAAGCTGGTGTTCCCTTTAGAATGAGGGCACCTGTTTCGCTGTTTCTGAAGAGTTTGAATCCATCCTACTCAGTAACATGGCAATTACCAAGCCAGGTGCTTCTGTAGGCCTTGGGTTCTCGATCTAGAAAATGGGGATAACAAGTGTCCCTGACTTCACAAGGCTATTGTGAGGATGGAATGAGATTTTCTATAACACACAAGGAGTAGTGAGAAGCTTGTTATCTTTAGCATCATTAATGTAAAGAAAACCAAAATCCTCACAATTGGACCAATAGGTAACATGATAAATGGAGAAAAGATTGAAGCGGTCAAAAATTTTGTCTTGTTTGCATACACAATCAATGCTCATAGAAGCAGCATTCAAGAGATCAAGCAACACATTGCATTAGGTAAATCTGCTGCACAAGATCTCGTCAAAGTGTTGAAAAGCAGGATGTTACTTTGAGGTGCATAAAGGAGACTAAGGTATACCTGATTCGAGCCAGGGTATTTCTGTCCATCTCATATGGACATTGAATAAAGAAGACCAAAGAAGAATTTATAATATAAATGATGGTGCTGGAAAAGAATACTGAACGAACCATGGACTACCAAAAGAACAAACAGATCTGTCCTGGAAGAAATACAGCCAAAACGCTTCCTAGAAGCAAGGACAGCGAGACGCCCCCTCTTGTGCTCTGGCGTGTTATGAGGCTCTCCCTGAAGAAGGGCATTATCCTGGTAAAATGGAGGGACAGTAAAATGGAAGGCGGCCCTGGATGAGCTAGACTGGCACAGTGGCTGCAACATGGTGCACAAACACAGCAACAATTGTGAGGATGGCGCAGGCCTGGGCATTGCTTCCTTCTGCTATGAACAGGGTCCCTGTGGGCTGGAACCAAGCAACAACAAGCATTCCTTTAGATAACTGTTTCCCAAAGTGAGCAGTGGGGTCCCCTGAGGAGTTGCAAAAACAAATTCCTGCACTTTGTCCTGGAATATAGACTGGAGTAAAAAAGCCCAGGGGGACGGTGAGTACAGTAATTTGTTTTATGCAAAAAGGGGGCCCAAAACCAGACCAAATTCACTGCCATGGAGTCAATGCTGACTCACAGTGACCCCAGCCCTCTGTGGGTTACGAAGACTAACTGGTTTCGGGAGTAGAAAGCCCAGTGTTTCAGCCTTGGAGCGGATGGTGGTTTCAAAGTGCTGACCATGCAGATCGCTATCCAACTTGTAACCACTACACCACCTGGGCTGGCAAAAAGTGGGCCGTAGGCCAAATAAGGTTAGGAGGCTCTGCTTGGGATCCGTATTCATGTTGCACCGTCCTGAAGGCTTTGCTGTTTCCACTATTTTTTACTGTGTTTGTTTCCCATATTTTTATGTTGACACTACTGTCTCTCTCTAACTTACATTGATTTTGGAAGGAAACTATGTCTCTGCC